GATGGCTTTTCATCTGGCTTAATACCCCCTCTGCATGTGCTCATCTCGGCCAGGACACAATCATCCAGAAATTCTACAAGTACAACGAGAGAAGGGTACTCAAGCAATGACTGGCACGCCTTCCCTGGTAATTCCATTTTTGGAACTGCTAATTTCAGATGTGATGATATAGCTCATTGAGTCAGGCTGCAAGAGACCAGGAATTACCCAGTGGTGGGCACTTAGCTGAGACCAGGGCTCACTTAATTAGGATTCTGGCATGGTAGGGAATATTTACTATTGCTGCGAATAGTAAATCATAAATGTTAAATTACATTCAATCACAGAAATAACTGTGCAAAACTTCTCACAGCATAGATAATCAGGCAATCTCTGAGATGGTTATAGTTCTCACAGGCCATTGCTGCTTTGCTGTGAGGTCTGCTTGCACCCTGAGCTACAGTCTCGATGATCCCAGCCCCATTTTTGTGCATTTTACTCCAGTAAATAAGAATAAATGCTTAATCTAAGTTTCAGAGGTTTTTTTTTTTTTTTTTAAAGAACATAAAACATGTTGTCTATTTGTTTAAACTTCAAAACTTAGAGATGGCTAGTTAAACAGTAATTCTTAAATCATTAAAAAGATAAAAACAACATCAATAGTCTTCCTTGATCGTGATGTTATAGAAAAACACTGGACTGGAAGTTTGGAAACCTGGGTCTAGGTCTTCTCTCTGCTCCTCATTTCTAATATAATTTGTGGAAAATAATTTACATTTTCCTGGGCCCCCCCATTTATGCAACTGTAATTTAAGAAATTGTTAACAATTTTTGCTAGGGTTCCATTCAACATTCCAATAGTAAAAGTAATATGCCGACTGTAATTTTAAACATTCATTTACGACTGCACTTTACTGAATCTTTGCATGAACTGGGAAGGGCTATCTGTCTACGTTTTGTTGATATGAGAACTTAGAGAAGCCAGATGTGCTGACTTAGGTCACACAGACACAGGAAAGGGCGTGAGAGAGCTTCAGCCTCAGTCCATTTTAATCAAATGATTCACAGTGATTGAGTTAAGATTACTGGAAAGAGTAACTTTCTTAGCTGGACACGGAGCCTGAAAAAGCATGAGCTTCAGTAGAACCTTTATTTGGACTTCCACACATCACAGCAAGTGCGGTTTCACATGTGTGGATTTCACTTGGATTTACACACGAGGTTTTCCTTTTCCTGAATCTCTTAGCTCTCCTCTGTGGTAGGACAAAAAGATCTGGATCCCTATGATCCTGGGAGCACACACTCTGGGTTGCCTGGCCAATGAACCAGCTGGGAAGCACTCCCCCTTCTAGTCAAGGAGGTTGCACCCAAAGCCAGCTTCCTACAGGGGCTGTGGCTTCTCCCTGTTCTGGGTGAAAAGAGGGCCTCAGACAATGCCTGTAAACAGCGCAGCCCACCTGGTGTCCTAAGAGTCTGACTTGCCTCCACCAACAAAGTTGCTCTCTTGCCCTGAAGCCAGAGGAGCAAGGGGTTCCTTGGAACTAGACCCTTGCTGTGTTCAGTACAACAGCCTGGCTCCAGCATCCCTCCCTGAAGGTGGATGGGGTTGGGGGACCTACGCCTTCTCTTTTGATGATACCTGATGTAAGCCTCTCTAATAAAGCCCATCCATAACCCTGCCGCGTGCTGTTGTAGACTTTGACTTGAGGTCTGCGGCTGGTCCAGAGCATGAAGGGACTCACTTTCCACAGTCTGTTTTCATTTCTAAGGATTCATTTGGAATCATGAAGACTTGCACTGAAAATTATATAATTAAGAATTGCAAAGAGCGGGGCACCTGGGTGGCTCAGTTGTTAAGCGTCTGCCTTCGGCTCAGGTCATGATCCCGGGGTCCTGGGATCGAGCCCCGCATCGGGCTCCCTGCTCGGCGGGAAGCCTGCTTCTCCCTCTCCCACTCCCCCTGCTTGTGTTCTCTCTCTCGCTGCGTCTCTCTCTGTCAAATAAATAAATAAAATCTTAAAAAAAAAAAAGAATTGCAAAGAGCTATGTATCCCTTACTATACAACTTACAGAATGTTTTCATAATCTATATTCCATTTACTCTCACACAAGTCTGCCAATCAAGACTTATTTTTATTATACAGACAACAAGTCCAAATTTCAGAGTGGTTAAAAGCCTTCTTGAAAGTGGCAAATCTAGGCCATTTTTAAAGCATCCACAGAGCAGGTTCTTTGCCAGGGGCTGGTGAATTCAAAGACCAGCAAGACATCACCGAAAGCTCTCTTTCTTGTGCTAAATAGGGAAGATCATCTTAATAGCTATTTATTGTAAACATACTCACTACATTTTTAAGTTTGCTCAAAACATAGTGCCTCTATTAGGGGACATTAGACAAACTTGACAGAAGCTGAGCAGGGAGGGCGAGCGGTGAGGGTATCTTAGCTGCTACTCAGCCGGAAGGACACTACACACCAGCTGTGTCGGGGGCCCTGAGAAATTGTGAACAGTTATGATCCTATCACGTCTTGCCAGACTGGCGTGTCTGTGAGTGCCACTGAATAGGTCTGTCTGTGACGAGTCTTCTCATCTGTGATCTGAATTCAGGTATGTTCTCCGAAGTGATTGCAGATGCAAATACAGTTCTCTGAAATCTCTGTTTCTTGTCAGTAATCCCCTTCATGGGGCCCCTCTGGATTTAGACATGATGTTATGCTGGCACCTCCAACCTAATACTTTCAAAGCTGAACTCATGATCTGCTTGCTCAGAGCTTTATTCCTTGGCCTGATGCACGGCTTCGCTTCCCCTCCATTTCCAGGTGCCCAAGGGGGAGCCTACCCAGACTCCTCCCTTTCTTCTCATATAGGCCTAACTCTCAAGCCCTGATGATATCACTTCCCAAACATCTCATACATTTTCCTCCTTCTTTGTGGATGCCTTCATTCACCTTAAGCCTTTGATGCCTTTCAAGGACTGTTCTGACATCCTCCTCCTCCCCTCCTGCCTCCTCCATCACGCCTCCTCCCCGGGCTCATGGCTGATAAATCCAAACTCCCACCACCCTCAGAAAAGAATGGAAGCTCCAGTGTTGCCACACACTGAGCGTTACTGTGGTTCCTCTCTTCTCTGCATCGCATTCCGAATCTACTGCACAGATGCCTCCCCAAACTGCCCGAGCCGTATCCTGCTTCTCCAAGACGAGAGTGCGCCCAGCAAACTCTTACTTCTCTTCCGAGCAACATTTTTCCTGTGAGGACCTTACTAAACCTTCCCTCTACTCCCGCAGTTAGACTTAAATCTTCTTCTGCTGGTTTTGTTGTATCCTGGAATGCCTTCACCAGAGGACTGCTTGTATTATGCTATTTCTGGGGGTTTTGTCCTCCAACTAGTTTTTGAGTTCTCTCAGGACAAAGTGCATGTTCTATTTACCATTGTATCCCTAGCACTGACCACGATGTCTGACAAAAATGAATTTCACTTAGATGCATGCACTAGGTTTTCCTTTCCCTGAATACTCAACTGTCCTCTGTGGTAGGACCAACACTCTGCATTGCTAGACAATGAGCCATCTGGGACAGTGCTCCCATGTCTCCTACTTGGAGAGAATGCACTCAAAGTCAGCTTCTCAAAGGGACTGGCAGTCCAACGTTGACGAGTCAAATGAATCTGAGTCTATGGAACTTGCTTAAGGACATGCAGCCAGTAAAAAGTGACAACAAGAACATAAATCAAGGCAGGGATTCCTGTTCTTGTCATTCACTGTTTTTTCCTTCGTACCTAGAAGAGTCGTTGGCACATAAGATTCCATCAGTATCTGTTGAGTTAATGAGTGACTGAATGAATGAATGAAAAGTTAACTTCAGATTCCTGCCTTTGGCTTCCATTCTCCTGATTTCCAATCTTGGTGGAGTGTGTGAATATGTGTGTAGAGACATCTTTTGAACAAAGAAAATTAACAACAGAATATCATGATTTTCTCTTTACACTAAACCGCAATTAAAGAATAATGGTAGCTATTTCCACACGCACGCACATTTGTGCACGATTCCAAAACATTGAGATATACAGGCTTGGTAATTCATTTCGTTTACTAAAAGAAAAATGGCTTTTGGAAAAGAGGTAGACACCCGACCTGGAAATCATAGAACTTTATATTCAGAATTAGTTTTCAGTTAACTGGTAGAATGAACTTGTCAACTGTCCTTCTAAATAGTGTGAAACAGAGGCAGACCTGAGGGGAGCACGGAGGGGCCCCTCCACGTTTCTGACATTGTGAGAAGCAAGTGCAGGATGGGTGCTCCTGGGGAGAGCCCTACTTAGGTTTACAGTCTTCCACCGAGACCTCTGGGGACTCTCTTTTTCACGCTGAATGACAGCTGATTTTGTCTTTATCTCTTACTGACACAGACCCAGTCATTCACTGGGAAGCAGAACAAAAGCCAGCAGAGGGATGAAAGAAACCCGAAACAGATCTTTCTTGAACTGATCTGTATCGGAGTTCTAAACAGTTCCGGGCAGGAAGGAAAAGGAGATCCGTGAGCCCTGTTGCTGAAGACAGAGCAAAGAACGACTTTTTCCTGTCCCTTCCCTCCCCCCTCCTTTTTTCTTGTGCAGCTTCTCAAAGCAAACATGGCAGAAAGTGGAAGCGTCCTGGAAGGAGACTGTTTACCACCGGCGCTCCCCCATCCCTGCGCGTGGGCTCCCTGCCCACGGCCATTGCCTCTACTGTTACAAAGCACATTTCAGAGTCTAAGTCACCTTCTGCTCCATGGCTCATTATTCTTCTCTCGGAATAAAACAGGAACACATCAATTATGTGTCCGTTTATTTCTGAGTGCACAGCCTCGTAACACTGACCTCTCTCTGCTTTTGTATTTTTCAGTGCATTCCTGACATTTGTCACTGGGGTTAGCTCCCAAACACCACTAACCCATTCTCTTATTATTTCAGTAATTTTCGAATGTTCTCTTCTACGGAATTAGTCTGACCTAAAGGCACCCTGGGAGGGGAGCTTGCACTCACCACTGCTTGTAATCCGCGTCACAGTTACAGTAGTACTTGGGGTCCGTGCAGTTCCGCTCGATGCCGCAGGCGCACTTCTGAATTCCGGGCCCCGAGCCGCCCCAGTAGTAGTGCTTCTCGTTGGCTCTGCCGACCCACCAGGTGTAAGGGCTTCCATCTAGGAGAAAGGGGAAAGACACAGTGAGGTAGACGAGGCTTGACCGCGTTGACATCCGTACACCCCTGTCCCCAGAGGCAGCATTGCGCCCTGGTAGGCTGAACATCACTTTACCCTCTTACAGGTAAATGTATTTCAATCACAGGGATATTTAATAAAAAATACAACAGGGAATGGTAAGCGCAAGTTCTCTCACCAGGATAGGCACCTTTTTTCCTGAAAGAAGTTTCAACATTCAAGCGTCAGTAACTTAGGTGTCTACTCAGTAGAGAGGCTGGCCAGTTGGGGACATCCATGATGAAGGCATATAGACAGTGCACTGATCCTGTGAATTACCACTAAGCTCATGACTAGCTGTGCTTTTCTGAGAAGTGGTAGCCAGGGGGATCATAGACTATCAGAGCCAAACGACCTTCATCGTGTCATAGTCTGATCTCCTTATTTTACAGGTAAGGAAACTGAGGTCTAGAAAGCTGAAGGGATTCTCTCAATCACATTGCAGATTTGTTCCCAAACCAGAAGTTCGACACTGTATCTCCTAAGACATTGTACGATGCTCTTATACCACACACGTGCCCCTATTATTTGGCCTAATATTCACTCAGGTATTCACTCATTCATCCAATCATCAAACATCACTTGAGTTTCCACTGCGTGTCAAACATGATAAAATCTTCATGTGTACGGCTAGAATTCCATTCTAAGAACTCACCCACCCTTTTGGGACGCTAGGTAGACACTTGTCCCAGGGTCTGTGCAAGTGTTCAGAAATAAAAATGAGGCAAGAGCCATACTGGAGTTGCATGAAGACTGCTGCAGTACTGTCTGAGATACGCCAATAGTTTTTTTTTAAGGTAGATTATTTATTTATTTTTATTATTGAAGTATAGTTGGCATACGATGTTATATTAGTTTCAGGTGTACAACATAGCGATTCGACAATTCTATACATTACTCAGTGCTCATCATGGTAAGTGCAGTGCCCATCTGTTACCATACAACATTACTACAATATTATTAACTGTATTTCCTCTGCTGTACTTTTCATCATTGTGACTTACTTATTTTATAACTGGAAGTTTGTACCTCTAAATCCCCTTCACCTGTTTCACCCATCTCCCACCCTCTTCCCTTCTGGCAACCACCAGTCTGTTCTTTGTATTTATGACTCTGGCTTTTTGTTTGTTTGTTTTGTTTTTTAGATTCCACACATAAGTGAAATCTTACGGTATTTGTCTTTCTCTGACTTATTTCATTTAGCATAAGATCCTCTATCCATGTTGATGTAAATGACAAGATCTCATTATTTTTTTATGGCTGAGTAATATTCTATTACACACACACCCCATCTTCTTTATCCATTCATCAGTCAATGGACACTTGGGTTGCTTCCATATCTTAGCTATTATAAATAATGTTGCAATAAACATAGGGCTGCATATATCTTTTCAATTTAGTGTTTTTGTTTTCCTTGTGTAAATACTCCACAGTGGAATTACTGGATCATATGGTATTTCTATTTCTAATTTTTTAAGGAACCTCCATACTGTTTTCCACAGTTGTTATACTGACTTACATTTCCACAAACAGTATATGAGGGTTTTCTTTTCTCTACATCTTTGCCAATATTTGTTATTTTTGTCTTTTTGATAATAGCCATTTGACTGGCATGAGGTGATATTTCCTTGTGGTTTTGATTTGCATTTTGCTGATGATGAGTGATGTTGAGCTTCTTCTCATGTGTTTGTTGGCCATCTGGATGTCTTCTCTCGAAAAATGTCTTATTCACATCCTCTGCCCATTTTTAATCAGATTATTTGGGGCTTTTTGGGTGTTCAGTTGTATAAGTTCTTTATATATTTTGGATATTAACCCCTTATTGGATATATCATTTGAAAAAATCTTCTCCCAGTCGGTAGATTGCCTTTTCATTTTGTTGATGGTTTCCTTTGCTGTGCAAAAGCTTTTTATCTTAGTGTAGTCCCCATAGTTTATTTTTGCTTTTATTTCCCTTGCCTGAAGAGACATATCCATAAACATGTCACTAAGGTTGATGTCCAAGAGCTTACTGGTTATGTTTTCTATTACTAGTTTTAAGGGTTCATGTCTTACATTTAGGTCTTTAATCCATTTTGAGTTTATTTTTATGTATGGTGTAAGAAGATAACCCAGTTTCATTCTTTTGCATGTAGCTGTCCAGTTTTCTCAACAACTTTTATTGAAGAGACTGTCTTTCCCCATTGTATATTCTTGCCTTCTTTGTGGTAGATTAATTGACCATATAAGAGTGGGTTTATTTCTGAGCTCTCTATCCTGTTCCATTGATCTATGTGTCTTTGGTGTGTGTGTGTGCGTGCACACGCGCAGCAGTATCATTGCTGTTTTGATTACTACAGCTTTGTAATGTATCTTAAAATTTGGGATTGTGATGCCTCCAGTTTTGTCCTTTCTCAAGATGGCTTTGACTATTTAGGGTCTTTTGTGGTTCCACACAAATTTTAGGATTATTTGTTTTAGTTGTGTGAGAAATGCTACTGGTTTTTTGATAGAGATTGCATTGAATCTGTAGATTGCTTTGGGTAGTACGAACTTTATTCTTCTAATCCATGAGCATGGTATACCTTTCCTTGTTTGAGTTGTCTTCAATTTCTTTTATTAATGTCTTATAGTTTTCAGAGTATAAATCTTTCACCTCCTTGGTTAGTTTTATTGCTAGATATTTATTATACGTTTTGGTGTGACTATAAATGGGATTGTTTTTATGGTGGGCAATTTAAAGTCATGAAACTCTCCTGGGAGGTTCAGGCTTGATGTAATAAATGAGCAAACACTCTGAACTTGGAAAAGAGTTAGATAGTCTCCTACTTCATACACATTTCTAGATTGTGTTGACTTAATTTGGAAAAGTTATTATTTTTTTCCCTTTGCAAGATCATTTATAGCACAAGAATTTTAAAAAATATATTTGACTTGATCAGGTAAACAGTAGAAAGGGAGATTTCAGTATCCTGTTCTGAAGGGAGGAAGAGGCCAGCTCTTTGAGATAAGGGTCTACTCTGAAACCTTATCTTTTGTCTACTTGGCCATGTCCCCAGAATAAAGAGAGCTGTGTTTGCTTTATACATTCAAGGTGTTTTTGTTTGTTTGTTTGCTTGCTTGCTTGCTTCTCCCTTCTCTTTCCATCAGGGTAAAGAGTAAAGCATCCAAATTGAGATGCTTCCTAGTGTTGGAACCATGACCAATAATAAACTGTTCTCTTTTGATGCAGTCAAGACTTTCAAAAAACAAGGCTTGAAAAATTCCATTTATGGAAACTGTAAAATCTGAGCCAGGTCAGCTGGCCAGTAACCTGAATAAGGTCTCTGTTGATTCCATCTCTAGGTCATGTTATAGGAAGAGGGCAAAGGTGGACGGTACCATGCTGACCTTGCAAATGCCCTTGGGGCCTTCCAGACCACAACTTGACCCCAAAAATGCAGAAACATGACCTAGATTGGTTATCACATCTATTTATCACACTGAATCTCTTCAAGGTGACCTAATGCTAAGTTCTTTCCCTCAAAGGAAATTTTGGTTACTATCATTGTTTTGGGAACTAGGAGATACCAACACATCCAGTAGAGGAGATGAAACAAACCAGACATCTGTGGAGCTGGGGTTAATTGACTGTCTAGCAGGAAACTCCCTTGTCCTACTTGTCATTCAAATAGCCCCTGGAAGAGTCTATATCTAAAACCTCAGCTCAATTGCAAATTATGTCTTCCAGCAACCAACAGAAACAACCTAACACTGTTATATTTTCGTTATAGACAGTGATGGTAAATTGCATGAATGAGAGAAGTTGAATGTGGTTCAGTATTCTTTATAAAAATCAGAGCAACATCAGTAAAAGGAGAAAGCTAATTATCAGCCGCTCCTTTAACATGAGACTCTGAGAAATGTGTGGCAGGGGAAATGGACGAGAGAGCCCACTGATACCTAACAGCACCTGCAGAGTATGGAGAAGCCCCCAGAGAGGAAGTTTCTTTGTCATGTTGTTTGGGCAGTAGGTGTTCTAGCAGGAGGCCTAAGCTCTGTGTGGGATCTAGGCTCTGAGCTAATCTTACTTGGCAGGACCCTCAGTTCTTGTAGGGAGGGACTCTTATTAGATACCAGGGTGGGATCCAGAGGGATGATCCACACTGACATTTCCTCTTTTCAGTGCAAGGAGGTGACATGCTAGTGAGCAGGTAAGAGTGGCCCAATTTCCCAGTTCTTCCCCCATCCCTCACCTTTGATTCAAGTCACATATAACCTTATATGGCTACTGTTCCCAGTGAAGGTGACGCCAGATCGAAGCTATTTTGTTCTCCTTCCAAGGAAAGTAAGTTAAGCACAGTACAAAATGTTTAACTTAGCTGTTTCTCCATCTGCCATGAACAGAAGAATGCCAGTGAGAAACACATATGCTAGGGAGAAAGCAAACTGTACCCTTTGTTATTAGCATTGGCACATTTTGGTTAAATCAAATCACTGTAACTAAAATAAATTATTAATTTGGCATATATTTTGTATTCAGCAAGAAGATGGTTCAATTTGCATTGAACAAAGAATTGCCTTATTCCAGTGCTATGCTAATGAAGTGCTATACTTTGCTTTACAAATCATTATTTACCTGTTAATTGGTTCTGGGGAAAAGCAGTTAAAGGTGATAAAAATGGAAAGATTTTCAAAAGACAAGAATAAGAAGTGGTTAGAAGAGAAATAATTTAATTATCCAGGGCCATGAGTTTAAGAACTTCTGTAACCTCAAAATATGAAGATTTCTGTTAATTATATTCAGTGGGCGTAACCATTGGGACAAGATTAGGACTGATAAACCATATTCAAAGTTGACTAGAAACTAAATTATCAAAGTAAGGCACATTGTATTAAAACAACTAGATTATCAATTGAATTAAATGCAATCACTACACTGTTTGTACTCAAGATCAAGTTTCATTATGCTGAAGGGTTTCTTA